GCGCGGGCGTCGGCGGCGTCGAGGGCTGCGGCGATGGCGCCGGGGACGGGGCCGGCGAGGGCGCCGGCGTAGGCACCGTCGAGGGCGACGGCGTCGGCGCGGGCGACGGCGAGACCGTGGGACCGTCGGTGGGCTTGAGCGACGGGGAGACCGTGGGCGCGACCGTGGGCGAGACCGTGGGCGTGGACGTGGGCAGCGACGTCGGGATCGTCGTCGGGAGCATCGTGGGGATGTTCGTGGGGCCGCTCGTGGGCACGGACGTCGGGACGCCCGTGGGCACGGGCGTCGGGATGTTCGTGGGCGAGCTCGTCGGCGTCGACGTCGGGTCGGTCGTCGGGACGGACGTCGGCATGAAGGTCGGCATGAAGGAGATCGTCGGCAGCGGCGTCGGCGCCGACGTCGGCGTGCTCGAGGGCATCGGCGACGGGACGCCCGTCGGCGTGTGGGAGCAGGCGTTGGCGTCGTAGATGTAGCAGCACGTGGACGCGAGGGAATCGAACTCGAAGCCCAGGGCAGCCCCCGTGTAGACGTCGTCGTAGTTCGTCCCGTAGTCGTCGCACGTGTTGTGCTGGTAGGCCGCCGAGAAGCTCGTCGCCTCGGCGGCGCCCACGAGGAGGGCCGCGGCCACTACCACCACGCGCGCCATCTCAAGTGGCGATCGACGTCGACCGTCCAACAGGATCGGTTTTGCACGCCCAGCGACGCGTTAAGATGGGCGTTTTCCCATGATACAGATCTTGCGCGACGATTTAGAATTCTGAATTCCGCCCGGGGGTCTTCGAGACAGGAGCCCTGGCGCCCCGCGCCGCCGCCGAGTCTCCGCCCGATCCTTACCGGCGGGACCTCACGCGGCGAGGGCCCAGCCGAAGCCGAGGACGACGCGCGGCGCCGCCGCCTCGGAGACGGTCGTCTCGTGCTCGCGCTTCGACGCGAGGAAGGCCCAGGCGTCGCCGTCGTCGACGTCGACGGCGCGGCGGTCGATGACGGGCCGGAGCGAGTCGCAGTGCGCGAGCCTGAGGGCGATGTTGCAGCGGAGGTGGTCCCGCGCGGCCGACGGCGCGTCGCCCGCGGCGCGCTCGCCGCCCGTCGCCGCCGCGTAGGCGTCCGTGTGGCGGTGGACGAAGCCGCCGGCCTCGACGACGGAGAGCGTGCGGCTCAGGGTCGCGTCGCGGGCCCCGCGGCGGTAGTCGAGGCCGAGCGCGCCCTCGACGCGGCGCGTGACGCGCTCGAACAGGTTCGCGGCCGTGGCGAAGAGGTCGGCGCCCTCCAGGTCCGCGGGGCCGTCGGCGTCGGCGGCGCCGAGGGACGGGAGCACGTCGTGGTCGTAGCGCGCGAAGAAGCGCCGCGGCCCGCTCGGGTTCGGCCGGAGCGCGCCGCGGTCCTTCAGGGCCAGGATGATCGCCTCGAGGCGCGCGCGCTCCGCCTCGGAGACGACGGCCCGGAGCAACACGTGGCTCTCGGCGTCGCCGCGCCAGGTCACGCCGCCCCCGCCGCGGAGCTCGACGCGGCGCCACGCGTACGGCGGCGGCCGCGCGCGCGGCGCGTCGTCCTCGAGCGCCGCGCGGTCGACGCGCCGGCCGACGTCGCGGGGCCCGAAGGTGCCCCAGCGCGGCCGGCCGTCGAACCCCAGGAAGCCCACGCGCAGCGGCCCGAGTTTCGCGCCCTCGGGCACCTCGACGGCGGCCGCGACCGCCGTTCGCGCCGCGCGGCTCCGCGGCGGCGGCGCCGCCGCGAGCGCCTCGAGCTTCTGGGCCGCGCGCGCCTCGAGCTTCCGCGCGGCGCGCGCGGCGCGGTCCGGCGGCGCGCTGCCCCGGCGGAGCACCGCGCGGCACGCGTCGACGGCGTCCGTCGCCGCGGCCGCCGCGCGCGCCGCGTCGCCGCCCGCGGCGTGGGCCTCGACGCAGTTGAGGCGCACGGTGGCGTAGACGACGGCCGCGGCGCAGCCCGCGTCGGCCGCGGCGCCGTCGTCGCGCGCGCCCGTACCGCCGAGGCGCCGGCACGCGTCGAGCGCGGTGACCGCGCGCGCGTAGGCCGCGAGGGCGCCCGCGCGGTCGCCCCGCGCGAGGGCCTCGTTGCCGCACCGCGCGGCCGCGCGCGCGGCCTCGACGCCCGCGGCGGCCCCGGCCCGCGGCGCGCGCGCGCGCTCGGCGCCGCGCGCCGCGGCGGCC